ATATATATTGTACTTCACGTGTATATTGCAGTGTAACAGTAAAATGCTCATCTGTTTTACATTTTGGGAAGACGCAGCTGAAGCTGATATGAAGATGCATAATTCGGCCCTTTAAAAAGAGAACAGGGCAATTCTTTTGCTGTATAAATTAATTTAACCATTGAAAGTTGCACAAAACAGTTTAAAAGTTCACAATTAAAAAAAACACAACTGCCCTGAGATTAAAAATAAATAATGGGTCAACAATAATCGGATTTTGACAGTTTCAAATCAGAACTCAGTATTTATTTTGAGTGAATTTAAACAAATTATTTGCTGCCTTAAAAAAATAATGGCAGAATTGTAGCAGTAGAGAAACTAACACAAAAAGTAGTACTCTGACACATATTTTAGAGGGTTAATAGCGGGTTAATTGCCATAAATAAATCATAAGCAAATCATTCATAAATTTGAAGAATTGTCTGAACTGTATGAAATACTTGGATGAATTAATCCAGAGGAATCTCCTGACTTACCTTTGTTGCAGAAACCCTTTTAAGCTTTGTGGATGACATCTTGTCCGGGGCCAGGTCTCCATGTGTGATGTTAGGTGACATCCCTGACCTACTGTCCTCCTCCATCAGTATGATTATTCGCTGCCTGGAGCCCGACACCACATACATGTAAGTATGGAGTCTGTTCTGAGCGTGTCATGTAATAAGCAAAAGTGACCCGAAATAGGCACTCTGGTGGAGTTACTTTGTGTGTGTGTGCGTGTGTGTGTGTGTGTTTATAAGTAGTTTTAAACCTTGTGAGCCACAAAACAACATAATAGTTAAAGAAGAACTGACTGCGTTACAGTCAGTGCGGGAGCAGCGGCTTCGCTCGTGCACGATTCGTTTGCAGTTTGGAGCATAGATGTGATTGCATCCCCTAGTCCTCCCCCAGCCTGATTGCAGCTGGGGGAGGACTATCCTCCGTCTTGAGCGCTTTGGCACGAGCTAGCTGCCCTCGGCAGCACCCACTGCTTGTTGAGAGTAAGAGCGATAAGCGCTTTCACGTCAAAAAGTTGTCATAAATGAGTCTCCAATAACACCAGAAAAAGTAGCCAGATTTGTCCCTAGTTGCTTTTTAGAAAAAAAAGTCGCTAAATATAGCGACAAAGTTGCTAAGTTGGCAACACTGGCTGTAGAAAAATAGGCTTAAAAAAATTGCTTACTGCAAAAACAAAATAGCTAACTCTTTAGCTAATAAAGAGCTAATTTGTTAGCTCCAGACTGAATGTGGCATCTTTTAACTTTAAGTTCAATTTTAGTTATCAGTATTATTATTGCAAATTTTATATATTTTTGATTTTAAATCATTTGATACTTTTGAAGTTAGCACTGTTGTCCACACTATGTTTTGCTTCTTTGTTTCTTCTTCAAATGTTACAAAGTACTAGCTGCTACTAAGCTAGTTAGTTAGCAACAGCAAATAATTAAATTCTTATGATTTTTGTTTTATTTTGTGACATCACATGCAGCACTATCAGAGAAATGTCAATGTAGCTTGTTTTTGTGGTTTTACAATCTTTCAAATCCTCTATAACGTACCTTTTGTGTACTTCTCTTACTAAGTAACAAACTGTAGATCATGTGGTTAAATGATCATCGTGCACCATTTGTCTATTATAAGCCACTTCACTTGTGCCGCGTAATACAGTCAGAACATCTGTGGGCTTTACACATTTTCCTAAATATTTGTGCAGCCTAGGTGGATTATGTTTATTTTTTTTATATTTTTTCCCCATATTGGCATGATGGTGTCACGCAGTTCCTTCATATTTTCGGTTGCACATCCATAATGGGAATCTTCCACCATAAAGGTGGTCTATTGGATTGAGATCTAATCAATTCTGAAGCTATTTGAGTCAAGTGAACTCATTCTCATATTCAAAGAAACCAGCCTGACATGATTTTAACCTTTTGGTACGTTATCTAGCTGGTAGCAGATAGATTGTGGTCATAAATGGATGGACATGGTCTCCAACATTACTCAGGTAGGCTATGGGATTTAACAATGTTCAGTTGGTACTAATGGGCCCCAGGTGTGCCAAGAAAATATCCCCCAACACATTACATCACCAACACCAGCCTGAACCATTAATACAGCACAGGATGAACATTACTTCCATGCTTTCATGTTTTTTATGCAAATTCTGAGCCTGCCATCCAAGCAGCAGAAATCGAGCCAGCACAAACTGTATCCTCAGATTCTCGGTCTGCTGCTGAGGCTCACCCGCTTCACTGTTTGACAGAGAAGCTCTTGTAAGATGGTGGCTTGAGTTACTGTTGCCTTCCTATCAGTGCAAAGCAGTTTGGCCATTCACCTTTGACCTCTGGGATTAACAAGGCATTGCCACTCACTGACTATTTCCTCTTTTTCGTAAACCCTAGAGACCCTTGCAGATCAACAGTTTCTGAAATACTCAGACCAGTTTATCTGGTATTAACAACCATGCCATGTTGGCACTCCTCCTTTAACTTCAGATTCTCAGTTTGAACTTCAAAAAGTTGTTTTGAACATGACTAAGTATATGGAGCTCCCATGTGACTGATTAGATTTTTGTGCTAATGAGCAGTTGAACAGGTCCTTGTCAGATTTAAAAACCTCAGTGGTCTGTCAGTGTATGTATATGCTTCCAGTGCAAAATTAAAAACACACACACACAGATGCACAAGCACCGGATGCTCAGATGCTCTCATTAGCATGCTCACACTTATCTCACAGAAAGCTTGCCAGGTGGGAAGCCACATGCATAACACACACACACACAGACATTGCAGAGCAGAAGAACAGGGTGGAGAGGGGAAAAAAGAGGGAGAAGAGAGAAAATGCAGAGGTAACATTTGGGGCTGAGAAAGAAAGAGAGGAAAGAGTGAGGAAAAGATAAACAGCAGTGTGTAGAGGCAAAGAGAAGTAAAGAAAAAAAGGGCAAAAGGCCCATGGACAGAGCTTCTTCAAACAATTTTGACGTATGTGGGTTCGGTGAACAGCTACACATGCTCTTTTAATTCCAGTATCAGCGAGATTCCTGCTCTTTCTATCCTGTCTGACAGCTCATTCATCTCCCTGAGCTCTTAGCTTGGGGAGAGCCTCTGCACCGAGGCCTTGTCTCTCCCATCAGCTCTTTATATTTTCTATAAAGATGGATTCCGTACAATGCTCATGAATGACACTTTGTAGAAGCAAAATACGCTCTTTCAGATAAAATATGCCCAAGAAAGGCATGCTAGAAACTCAAAGACAGCAAAAAAAAGATACTTTGCAGTTGCATTAAAAGCAAAAGTTCAGTCTTTGAGTATATGATGGAAAGATTCAAATGGCTTTCTTCTAACCGAGAATATCTGTCATTCACTCGTCTATTTCTTTACACCTCTTTGCCTTTTGAGTGTTCGTACTGCTACATCATTCTTTGTTACTGCAACAATTGGCCACTAGGTGGAGATATTCATTCATTGAAACTAGCTGTGCAGAGAACGGCAAATTGGGAGTGTGGCACTGTTCCCGTATTGATAACGCAGGCCCTGGTCTTCAAAGCAGGGGGTCTTTCGATTGGATTAACAGCTGCAGGAAATGCATCAGCTGTGACATGTTTGCTGCTGCTCATATGTTTTTTGTTCAGCACTTTCATGAGAATACACTGCAGGAAATCCATTTTATTACTTTAGGTTTTATAGATTTTCACTAACAAAATGGAAAAATGGACTTTATATTTCACAGTGCGCGTGTGTGTGTGTGTGTGTGTGTGTGTGTGTGTGTGTGTGTGTGTGTGTGTGTGTGTGTGCAGGTTCCGGCTATGGGCAGTAGACAACACGGGGCGCCGTTCAACTCCAAGTGAAGTCACCATCAAAACTCCATGTCCAACTGTGGATGACGTCAAAGCACAAGGTGCTTTGTGTAGTAAATATGATTGTTATATGATGTCAGAAAAATTCGGGGGGGAAAATTTATATTTGGTGCAATTTTTTTTCATTTGTTTTTTTTATTTACCGGACAGACATTTGCTCTTTCTATTTGCAGTCATGTCTCAAAACCGCACAAAACAGATGTTAGATGAGTTCATCGAGCGAGTCATAAAGACACAGGCAGATAGTTTTCCTCTCTGGAGTAGAACTGTTTATGGACACTGTACACTAAGATCTCACGAGAATATTGGTTATAAAGTGTGCTATTTCATGTCAGAAATTAACGAGCTGAAATCATTTGTCACCCTGTGCACTAGTGAAGCTTCATACCAAAGACTTTATAGATCCTGCTGCTGAGTTGGAGACAGGGCCGTAGACATTTGGGTAGTGTCACAGTTTTCACCTTTTTGCCACTACAATTGAAGTATGGCTTTAATTAAAGGCCCTGGCCAAAAGTACCTTGACTGTCTTTTTTTCTGCCCTAGTTCCATATTTCCTGGTGCTAAGGGTGGGCTGATTAAAAAAGTTACGCAAAAGCTGTTTCAGTGATAGGTGTGGGATATTTCTTCATTCCTAAATTAAGCAGGCAAATATTCAAGAGTTCATTTCAAGTGATGAATGATCATGGGATCCTTTTCATGGTGAAGAAAAACCCTTTTCCAACGGTCCCCAGAGGGGGAAACACTCTCTCTGTAAGGTAGCTATCCGTTATTGAAGTCTACCATAAAGAGGCTTTGTGGACGACGCTTTGACAGAAGGTTCAACCTCATGAACAGAAAGGCCAGGTTAGAGACTAACTCTCAAACAGCATTCTTTGGACGGATGAAAGTAACATCAACCTGTCACAGAAGGACAGGAGTAACAAAAAATGGAGAAGGCTTGGAACAGCTCATGATCTGAACACAGTGAAGCCTGTGTGATGCATGGGCATGAGTGGTTTCAAATTGTACTTGGGTCACTAATGTTTATTAATGATGTGACAGAAGACAGAAGCAGCCAGATGAATTCTGAAGTGTACTGTGATCCATCCAGCCATCCATTCTCTTCCGCTTAAACAATTTAGGGTCGCAGGCACCCTGAAGCCTATCCCAGCTATCGCAGGGTGACAGGCAGGGTCTGATGCAGGGCCAAGCAGAACTTGCAAACTTGATATTGTCTACAATAGTGGACAAAGGCCTGAAAAATGAGGCCAAACAGGAATAAGCCACGTGGTCAGTCAGGTTGAATTTCACTAGCGGAGAAAAAAACCAAAGGGAGTAAGACACATCACAAACATCTGCAGACTTCAAGCCATCATTACATGGAAGGACTTCAGCAAAATATTAAAGTTCAATAATGATTTTTTAAAATTTGTCCAATTCCTATTTGAACCCTATTAAGGGGCTACTTAATTTACTGTGCTTGACTGTGAAAACAATTTCCAATGTAATTGTCTAATTGTATAAGAAAAGATGTGCCACTTAATGCAGTTGGTTTTAATTACTGGAAATCTACGCATGGTGTGACATGCAGTACATGCCATGTAGTTGCTTTTACTGATTTTCTTGGCATTGTCACTTCCGAGAGGACTTACGCTCCAAGGTTTTAGTTTCTTCAGTGAATTCTTCAACTTTGTTGTTGATGATTTATCCCTTTTAAAATGATCGGTAATGGTAGTGAGACCAAAATATTCATGTAAAATGACATCTGCTTTATTCATCTGAAATTGGAGCTGCAGAAGAAACAGGAAAGAACACATCTTCTCCACTTATGAGGCCATTATATTTAACAGTGCCCAATAACTGAGGGGAAAAAACTGCAATATGTCCAACATCTTTGTCAACATCAAAGAATCTCTTCCAATGACCCCAAAAACAAACGCATATTACAGTTACTGTGTCGCTGATCCTCCATCCTTGTGACCTCTGTCATCACTGGGAAGAAAGGGGTGCTGATCACTATCCAGTAACCAACATCCTAATTTGGGATTAGACTTCTTAATATTATTTCTTTATTACTCTGCCTCGCCCATACCTTAGCAACTGACATGATTCCACATGGATTCCTGTCGTGTCCTACAGTAATTGAAATTAAGAATGCATTCGTCAGCCTGTCAGGATCACTGTTAACAACATTGTTTAAAATGAATGCAAAAACAGATAAGACCTGCCCCAGACAAACATTCTTCTCTCGCTATGAGCGATCTGCGCCGTCTGTCTACAGGAAGCGTGATTGCGTGTGAACTCAGCGAAGCTCCCCACCCAAACCTCAACAGCGTATCCAAAACAGCAGCGAGGCTAGCATGGATTCAGGAGAAAGATGACTTTGTCATTGGAACATCTTGCCTGGATCATTTAATATCAAGTAGCCCCAGTCAGCCTGTTCATTAAACATAAAAAAGGGTTTGAACTGATCGCCGGTATTGTTCTTTATTGTTGGGCATTCTGCTCCTATTAAAGCTGCAAGTTAATCCCCGATTGTCTATACACTTTCAGAAATTGCAGATAAGATATATAACCTGTTTAACGGCTACACCAGTGGGAAGGAGCAACAGACAGCTTACAACACTCTGATGGACCTGGGCGCTCCTACACTGCACCGTGTGCTTTACCACTACAACCAGCGCTACGAGAGCTTTGGTGAATTCACCTGGAGGTGTGAGGACGAGTTGGGACCCAGGTACGGTTATTTGACTGTTTCTTTTCTTCCTTAACGAGTCAACAAGAACAAAAGATGCCACACTGGAAAATGCATGTTTATTGAACACCACAGGCAGTTTAGTTTTACCCACGCTGGAAACGACAGGAAAAAGTGACTTTTCTGCCAGACAATTGGGACTCAGCTTGTATTTCAAACGTGCCCACATCTCTGACGTGTAACCTCAGATCAGAAAAATGCATTCCTTCCAGCAAATTGATCATCAACTTTAACTTGATCGCCAATTTATCAGCAGAACCCAACAATATACAAAGCCCTGTAGGTCTGTCTTGAGTCAGACTTTTACAGAATACCAAAAGCCTTAATAACGTGTAGACTGCGTTCACTGTAATCAGTCTTCCAGATATGCGTGTGTGTGGGAGTGTGTGTAATCCATTCATGAGTTGCCCTCCCACCAACAAAGTGCAATCTGTCATACTGAGCTTGTGCAATTGACACTGACATCTTCAAACAATAACAGTGTGAGACTGAAGAAAGTGGCAACTAGACAAGAGTCTGGATTGGATCACAGTTTGTCAGAACAACACTTTAAAGTGCAATTTGAGCAGATAGGCCTTTCATAATCGAAACATTCACCAGCAATCCTGTAAAACCCAGAAGGCTAGGACTGAATCACAAGACATAGATGTGCTCTATTAGTGATTACTGCACCCCCAACAGCTTATAGGAATTTGTTCCCATTCTGACACAGATCTAGATCAGGTGCGATGAATAAATCAACAAATTGTGTCATATATAAACATGTGTATTATAATATTCTCACTGTCTACATATCCCAAGATTACACCAATAGTACATTAGTAACTAGTTCATTGAATGAGTACTGTGCGTATCCAGAGCTTGATCTTTTTTTTTTTTTTTACCAGTGTAGTGTAGGAATGCCTCAGTTGACATTGAAATATACAGAGGGCTAATCTCTGGAGCTGAAAAAGTAAGCTAGCTGCCACTTGACGTTGGCGAGTCAATCCCCTTACTAGGGTTGCCAACTCCCTGAAAAATAAATAAGGGACACCTCGACCCAGTTGTCTGCACCCTTCCCAGTGTGGTGAATTTTCTAGCTCTTTTTTTGTGTGTGAAATTATTTTTTTAACCATTTGACTTGAA